TCTCAATGCTTTTCCCGGGGCTGGCGAAGGAAGGCCCCTGGGGGGCGGGGCCGGTTTGTGTCCCTGCCGCGTCCGCAGGTTCGGCCGATTGCGGCTCCCAGTGGTCGCGGTTCGCTGCTCCTGGCCAATGGGAGCTGCTGGAAGAGGCACGGGCCGAGGGACGTACTGGCCGCCGCTTCCAGCAGCTCCCATTGGCCTGGAGCAGCAAACCACGGCCATTGGGAGCCGCAATCAGCCGAACCTGCGGACGCGGCAGGTACACAAACCGGCCCGGCCCGCCAGGGGCTTCCCTGCACAAGCAGCGGAACAAGTTTGGAAACCACTGATCTAGACAATTCCTGACAGGTGTTTGTCTAACCTGCTCTTAAAAATATCCAATGATGGAGATTCCAAGCCTCCCTAGACACTTTATTCCAGTGCTTAACCACCCTGATGGGAAGTTTTTCCTAATGTTCAAACTAAACCTCCCTTGTTGCAATTTAAGCCCATTGCTTCTTGTCCTGTCCTCAGAGGTTAAGAAATTTTTTTTTTTCTTCCTTCTCCTTGTAACAGCCTTTTACATACACCTCTACCCCAATATACTCCTCGGGAGCCAAAAAATCTTACCGCGTTATAGGTGAAACCGTGTTCTATCGAACTTGCTTTGATCCGCCGGAGTGCGCAGCCCGTCCGTCCCCTCCCCCCCCCCGAGCACTGCTTTACCACCTTATATTCGAATTCATATTATATTGGGTCACGCTATATCAGGGTAGAGGTGTACTTGAAAACACTTATCATCTCCCCTCTCAATCATCTGTTTTCCAGACTAAACAAACCCATTTTTTTCAATCTTCCCTCATAGGTCACGTTTTCTAGACCTTTAATCATTTTTGTCATTCTTCTCTGGACACTCTCCAATTTTTCCACATCTTTCCTAAAATGTGGCACCCCGAACTGAACACAGTACTCCAGTTGAGTCCTAATCAGTGGGGAGTTGAGCGGAAGAATTACTTCTTGTCTTGCTTACAACACTCCTGTTAATACATCCCAGAATGATGTTTGCTTTTTTTGCAACAGTGTTACACTGACTCATGTTTAGCTTGTGGTCCACTGTGACCCCCAGATCCCTTTTCATAGTACTCCTTCCTAGGCAGTCATTTCCCATTTTGTGTGTGTGCAACTGATTGTTCCTTAAATGGAGTACTTTGCATTTGTCCTTATTGAATTTCATCCTATTGACTTCAGACCATTTCTCCAGTTTGTCCAGATCATTTTAAATTTTAATCCTATCCTCCAAAGCACTTGCCCTCCCAGCTTGTAAGTGTACTCTCTATGCCATTATCTAAATAACTGATGAAGATATTGAACAGAACTGGACCCTGGACTGATCCCTGCGGGACCCCACTGATTACACCCTTACAGCATGACTGTGAACCACTGATAACTACACTCTGGGAATGAGTTTCTAACCAGTTTTGCACCCACCTTATAGTAGCTCCATCTAGGTTGCATTTCCCTAGTTTTGTTTATGAGAAGGTCATGCGAGACAGTATCAAAAGCTTTACTAAAGTCAAGATAATAATTTACTTTGTTTATATGCTTATGGGGAATTCCTCTAAAATAGGTGTTCTAGCTTTCAAGGCCAGATATTCAAAATAGCCTCAACGCCTGCCCCCAAAATTGTACCTGCAGTTTGGCATGTGCAAATTTAGCAGGTGTATTTGATTTTCCTACTGTAAGTGTAGGGACTAGGAAAACTAGTGTAATAAAATTCTACGTTGTCATGTTTAATGGTGTCCACTGACACACATTCCAATTTGCAGACTTTGCTTTCTCCACTTAAAAAACATTAGTACTTTTTAATTCTAGCTGTGAATAAAATCTGTTGTTGTACCACAGAGTGTACTTTAAAAACTCTTCCAGACATTCATTGTAGGTTCTTTAACCAGGCCATTTTTTAAGCTGTTCTATCATCAGAAAAGGCAATTTGAAACTTGTTGCAGAAGTTGGAATAGGATCAGTGCTCTGTTAAATGCTCAGGTAGTTAATCGGTTCTTTCCTTTTCTATGTCAAGTCAACAGGACAGAAAAACATTCTGTTCTAGAGACTATAAACAAACAAAAGTTAAATGAACATAACAAACTTGATTGCAGCCAAAGGTCTTCCCTATATGTAGAAGACACATACCACCAAACCGAGAGAATGAAAAACTAACAGGTGGTAGTAAATATAATGTTAACTGGTTCTGAATCAATCATTTCAAGCACTATCTACAGGGAGTTGTCTGGATAAATTAGTTGTCAAGATAACCATATATAAAAGTGTTTGAAAGCTTTAAATTTTTACTCTCTGTGGTGTTGATCAATGTACAGCAACTGAAATGTATCTGTCTTTTTGGACTCTTTTGGCTCAAGTTTTGAGCAAGTAGTTGGCTCGTATGTGTGTTGCTGTTTCACAGTTGTATTTCAGTGTGTTTCTGAACTGGATGGGCAAATGAGTATGATTGTTAGCAATGACTTGACTAGAGCAATTATCTATGTCTAGAAACTCCAATCCTAAACTGAAAAACTTCTGTTCCAGTCTTGTGGGCAGGAGGCTGTGTCAAATTATATCACATTTTTGTGATGTGGACTAGAATAAGGCTATCAAACTGCAATTATATTTCAAAGCCAGAAAATCTTTGTGTTCAACCAGATTTTGATAATAGATATGAAAATGAGTTCAGCACCATGGGTTCTGGTCAACTCTTGGTTTTAAACATTTAATTTCTCCTATGTTTTATCCTCTTGGCCCTTATCCAGCACAGTGACTTAGGACAGAAGCATGCAAGTGTGTAGTTGATCACCAGATGCTAATGTCACTTGTGTGGTAGCAGAGGGTGTTGAAGCCCTCAACTAGATTTGTTTCCTTTGGAATGCATATACACCAGTTCATTAGTACAGATTCTGCCCGGTCCACATTGTGATGCCCCCAACAACGGAAACTACAGAGCTTCCTATTTGTTTGTTTTTCTGTAATGTTACAAAACAATGTTCATGTTATGGTGTGTTTTTAAGTGCTCTGTATATACGTAACTAAGTAGAATACAATATTACTTGCTCTTTGGCCAGAAGGAGTAAGTTATTTTGGCACAGTGGTGTGCGTAAGATTCAAGAGGAAAATTCCTTGCTGCTTATGGCATGATATTTTCTTTTTTATATACCTGCCTTGTTCATGTTGCTGTTGCTTCCAGTTTGGCATGTAATTGGGCTGAAGTCACATGAGCAACAATAGTTGGCTATTAATACCTTCTTTAAATTAGTGAAGCTTCAGGGTGTCTTCTCAAGAAGTGCTAGAGGAAGCAGTCTATGCAAATTTAAATCATCACATTAATAAACTTGTGAACAGTAGTGCAGGATCACTACTTTATGACCAAGCTTACTCTTGTTTGTTTTCTTCCCTATGTATTCCTCAATGTCGCACTCCTTAGTAGTCTTTCCATTAATTTTGGGGCAACCTTCAAACTTCATAATAAATAAATAAAAATGATGGGAACTACTGGGAAAAAAACAAGCCACAACTGAAACCTGAGTCTGGTTTGTATTAGGTAGATGTTTACCGCTGTATTCCTATCTGTATCTTCTTGAGAAGTTTCTTGTTTCAGTTTCAGAACTGAGAAATGGAGTGGTGTGGGGATGAGGCTTGCGATGCATTCCTTTTTAAAAAGAGCCCCTTCCTGTAACCTGAATGTTTGCTTAAGATGTTTTTCTTTAGAACATATACAAATGCACTTGAATCACTGACATTGCAGAAAGCTATAACTTTATCTCTATTTGTAAAAGTCCTTTAGTGCAGAAATGACCATTGGATTTCTTTCAGAGTAGCAGCCGTGTTAGTCTGTATCCGCAAAAAGAACAGGAGTACTTGATGTTGCCCACGAAAGCTTATGCTCAAATAAATTTGTTAGTCTCTAAGGTGCCACAAGTACTCCTGTTTTCATTGGATTTCTGTTGCTCCACGAAGATGGAGCATTGTATTTTGGGACATGTAGTCTCTGTGGGGGTGGCAGCTGCAATCTGGTTCTTTCTGTGCAGATTAGATGGGTTCCTGACAAGGGTTTAAACGGAGCCGTCAGTTGGGAAAAGTTTAAATAAGGGTATACTGGAAATTGCATCCTTGTTAGGAGAGGTAATTTAAAGTTTCCTCACCACTGAGCTCTTTAAGAAGGAAGGTATTTTCTGTTAATAGAAGAGTAGCAGCCTGTAACAAATTTTATATCTTTTTTTTTTAGTTTAGAGTTGGTGTGTGTTATAACTGCATGCTTTGCTTCAGCCTTCAGAGTTTGTATGCCTGATTTTCATATTGCATGTGCTATGTTGGAATCTGAACTCAGGAGTCTGCATTTTATTATTCTTAGTAACACAAGGAGTGACATGAATATAACTTACACTAGTCCACCTAAACCCACTGTAAGAATTTTGGACCTTCTGAGGTGTTAATGCATGCTCTTTCTTGAGTGAGTCTCTTTGATAAGGTGCTGCTGGCTTCCCTTTGAGCAGTCTTTTACTCTGGTTGCAGTAGCTTATGAGACACTTTGTGAAGAGAACTGAAGTGTCTCATTTTATTCCTTGTTATGTTTCATTTCAGCCAAAAGTACCAAAGGGCAGAGGAGGGCAAGAGAAAAAAGTCATCCATCCTTACAGCAGAAAGGCTGCTCAGCTTACGAGAGAAGCACACAAACAGGAAAAAAAGGAAAAGTGAGTTAATTTGTACAGATGTTATCCAATGTGGGGAAAAGGGAGAATAATTCTGGTTTTTAAAAGTATTATTTTGAGTCTGAATTTCAGGAAAGCGGGGAACACGAAATTTGGAACCTTTTTTAGTAAGTGGGTAAAACTAGGAGTAATTAATAATATGCATTGAAAACAAAGATAATTAGGCTGAATATCAGGTATTATTTCCTAATAGTGAGACTGTTTGTAGAATAACATTTTTTGGAAACAGATAGAAACTTCAGCACAAGAATAATGTAAAATTAAATTAGACAACCTGATTTATTAGAAAGTCAAGGTACCGAATTATAGGAATGTAGGATTGGAGGGGACCTGAAGAGGTCATCTAGTCAATGCCCTTGCACAGAGACAGGATTAAGTAATCAGGATTAAGTAAAATGTAAGATCATTGCATAAAACTTGAACCTAATGCTAAATTCTACCAGATGATTTTCAGAATTTTTACTTACACTATCAATCTATTTACCAAAGTACTTTTTTAAATGATTCTGATTAACACGTGACTGGTAATTGACCTTTTCACCTGGTTTGAGTCTACTGCAAGTTGACATTGACAATAAGTTTGGTTTGAATTCTGTTTCTTGGTACAAGTGTCCAGATGACAGAAAACCCCAAGATAGCTGGCATATTTTGTAGCCTTACCAAAGGAGGGAAAGACTGAATGAGAATAGAGCCTGAATAACTCATCTCTAGAGGTGGTCCCTGCATCTTTTTTCCTGCTTTTTTATGGGATCTGTCTGCCTTCTCCCAACCCCCCTTCTGTGGGGCTAGCAAAGACCACTGTGTTGAGAGGGCTAGAGTTTGCCTAGTGCCAGCAGGGTAGAACATTTGGTGAAGAGTTCTGATTGTGTCTACTGCTGGAGCTCCTTTATGTCATGGTAATCTGATCTTCAGGCAGGACAGCCTCTCTCTTCTGGGAACAAATCTTCTCCTCAAACTGGGAACTCTTTTTTAGGGCTGCTTAGTGCTTTAAAGGTCTGCTTGTTGGCATTTTAAATGACAGTATATATAATTAGAACAGCTTTGGGAGATTCTCTGCTATTGCATGTTTCATCTATTAAATGCATGGTTAGAGATGACCAGGACAGTCAGGGTGGATAAAAATCAATGACTTAAAAAAAAAAATACAAAAAAATCCGATTTTATTTATTTAAATTGGATTTTTTTGATAAAATGCTTTTTGAGGAAAAAACCTACCTAAAGATATCTTTGAGCTATAATGTATCTTAATTAAAACTATCTCATAATGGGATAAGGATTATTAATTCTATAGTATGAGATAATATATTCATGTAATGTTTAAGAAAAGTTTTGTAAATGAGTTCCAATAGTTCATGGATTAGGGACCCAGTTTTATGGGATTCCAGGGGCTTCTGTATAGATTATTTAGGTTAATCTTTCTATCTACCCAATGGGACTCAGTGCTAACTAAGTCTAGAAGATACCAGCAGAGAAGCTTAGTTTTGCAGTTCTCAAACTGTTGATTTGTGTCTCCAGAGATAACATGCTTGTTAACAGCAAAAATGTTTTTAAATAAATAAATATATAGAGGTGAGAAATAAGACCTCAACCCTATTGTCCCTCTGCAAATTTGTGTACACAGAGTCAATCCCTTACCTCTCTCTACAAGTACAAAGTTTCAAAAAGTTCAATGAATAGAAGATTGTTGGGGGGCGGAATAGATCTGGACAAGGAGAAGTTTGGAGATAAATGTGAGAAGGGAGGGACAGGCAGTAGAAACAAAAGTGACACTGTTTGAGCAGCATGGTCCAGAAGTCTTGAGGTCTTTCAGAGTGTAGCCTTCATTGATTTGAGATCTACCATACCATTCTCTCACTAGAAGGGAAAACACATAATGGCAACAGGCCGTAAAAGAGATCCAGTTTGGGTCTCATCTATCACTGAGTTGTGAAAAATATTTATTAAGGCTATAACAACCAACAATAATTTACTTTTATGTAGAGATCTATGATTAAATCGAGTCTTCCTGACTAGTGATTTACATCCTGATTTAAATCAAATCTACCCTGAGGACAGTTAATCTGGCTTTTCACAAACTACTATTGTCCCATAACCCTAATAACATTTAAATATAGTAATCAACCAGGAAAATTAAACTTCAATGTAAAAAAGAGTGGACTCACCACTGCAGTGCCTCCTGGCAGCTCTCTCCCAGTCTGGTGCCCCAACAGCCACACTGGTCCTGCAGTTGTCCACCTCTTCCCATGACTCCGCCCTTCAGGCAGGTCACAATTTAACTCCACCTCTTCCAGGGTATTAGAGTTCAAAAGACAAAGGAATATTACAAACTCAAAACCAGGGTAATCTGAGAAGCCTTTGACAGGACCATACCCCACCCTGCCCAGGATTTGTCTTGATGCAACCAGTCCTTTTAATTAGTCTTTCTGGGCTGGTTGTCCCATCTGCTTGGAGGTTCATCCATGCAGGAAGCTCTCTGACTCTTGCTTGAAACCAGGCTTCCCTTACCAAGAGGAGTAGAGCTCTACTTTCTTTCCTTGTCAACCCAAAACTGAGCTGGGCCACCTCCTTTTAATTCCCCTCTCCTCTCCTGACATCAGGTATAGTGGTGCAGGGCCAATTGGGACTACAGACCCTTATCAATCCCTTCCTTGCCAGTGTGGGGCCTGATGGTAATAACTAGAGTAACAATAACCAGAGTAAGACTACACACCACACTTGGGTTTAATTTGGTTTTGTTTCCAGAGTATTTGCCTTAAGTGTTACTGAAACCACACTTCTTGTGGAACCATGTGCAGAGGTAAGGTTTTATGGCTGAGTTAAGGATATTTGTGGAATTCTGACTATGAATTTCCTCACTTTCCAATATTTGCGTTTAAGAATTACGGTGTTCTAACCATGATTTGAATTAATGGGTATATGTGTAGGTTAGGTGTTTTTTAAACTAATTAGGAACAAGACATTTGAAATACATAATTGTAAAATATTTGAAAACTAGTATTCTATTGTGCACGTTTAAATGAAACTCCCACTTCAGTAAAATACCACTTTTTAAACATAGCTTTTTCCGGTTTATTTAACTGTCTCTCCTGAATTTGTGCTGCTGTCTTCTACCTGTGCTTCTGTTGTTGTCTGCTTCTTCCTTTCTTGTTCATGGCAGTCAGCTCTCCTCAGCCTAGTACTTCTTGTTTTTCCCCCTGTAGCAGTGAGTGCCATAACCCTGCATACAGTATGGACTAGTCTACATTAGAAGCGCTACCTCGGCACAGCTGCAGTGCGTCTGGTGAGGACATGCTTTGCCATTGGGAGAGAGCTCTCCTGTCAGTATAACCACTGAACCTGCACGAGAGGCGGTAGCTATGTCAGTGGGAGAAGCTCTCCCACTGACATCGCACTATCCACACTGGCACTTAGGTCGGTATAACTTACATTGCTCCGGGTGCTCCGAGTGACAGAAGTTATGCTGTTATAAGTTTCAGAGTAGCAGCCGTGTTAGTCTGTATCCGCAAAAAGAACAACAATAAGTGGTAGTGTGTACAAGCTCTATGTAGAGAGAACAGATGTGAAATGAGAAGTGGCTGAAATCCTAGAGACTGGAGGACGTGAATCTTCATAGCTGTCTTAGCATTTTTAAATAGATAAAATATATGTTCCACACTTTTGAAAATTTGTCAAGTATCTTTGTTCTAGGGCTTAATTAGGGTTTACGTAAAACCAAATGCCCAGTTAATAATACCGGTTTGGAAATGGAAATCTTCAAATAGAGGTGCTGGTGCAGTGTATGCAGATGCAATTAAAATCATACTTGTCTCTTATCCTTCCAACCAAGGATTTTATTGTGCTTTGCAAACATCAATTAAGTATGCAGTGGAGAAAGTGACAAATATTAGAAAAATAAAAATGCTGTTGAATGACAGTGAGTGAACTGTAAGTAATGGACAAGACTGCCACTGCCATCAGTATCAGATTGAGACTGCATTATGATCTTTGACCTGCTTTGCCCAGTCTAAGGCTTGCCTCCAGAGGAAAATTATCCTGATATAAATTAAGGTGTGAATTTAAACTGATTATACCAGTATAATCTGGTATAGACACTCTGATTTGGTATGAGTGCTCCTTCTTTCCGTTTTGCTGATGTTGCTTGGAAACAGGTTTAAACTAAACCAAGAGAATAGGGAAACTGGGAATAGATGGGGAGTATAGTATATTACCAGTAAACCTTGATCCTGTCAACAAAGCCTTAGGCAGCTGTTAAAGGTTGCATGTGCATATCTGTGCTGCACCTGATAGGAAACACTGCCAAGTATGTCAGAATGCAGGAGGCAACCCAGCTTTTGTAAACCAGTAATTTATCTGCCTGACACCTTTAATATTGCAATAATGAGAGGTCATTGTAGCCCTCCAAGCACAGGAATATCTTCTATAGCTAGCAGAGGAAGATGTAGTAATAGAGTGACCTAACTAGACTGTAACATAATTCAACAAACCAGACAACAGTACTTGCTGAGGCTTGTTCCCAAGGCAACAAACATTGGTAAATATTATCTGGCTGATGTGCAGAAGTGACTACAGTGCATAAAATGTCTTAGAGAAGTTTATGAAATGCTTCTGTCTCCTGATACTAGTGAGTGCTGATTCTCTCGAACTGCATAAAGTGTCTTCTTTGATCCTCTCTGTATTATAGTGCAGGCAGAATGCCTTTGAATCTCAATTCTGTATTGATGGACCCTTTTATTGTGAGTGGGTCCTCCAGGCAGTGAGACATGGAACCAGAATAATGCTAGAAGTCCGGTTCTCAACCTCTACAGAGGACTGTACCCTTTTCAGGAGTCTGATTTGTCTTGCATACTCCAACTTTCTCCTCCCTTAAAAACTACTAGCTTACAAAATCAGACCTAAAAGTACAAAAGTATCACAGCACACTATCACTGAAAAATTGCTTACTTTCCCATGTTTACTATATAATTATAAAATAAATCGATTGG